GTCATTCGATTTATTCTACCCTTGAGGTATTCATTGATATGCTGAAAGACATTCTGAAGTATAGTGAGTGACTAGCAATCAGTCAGCGGTGCAGCTAAGAATACTCGGTTGTAATTCTAATGGCCTCTGATCATGCGGACGATATCGTGTAGCTGAACGAGTTCACAAACGGTTTACTGAAAAAGTCGGCAACATTGCTGTGGAAGTGGGGCTACAGTTCAAAGAAATCAATTCTCATGCTATATCTAAGACTAAATGCCTGAAAAGACAATGAAGGAGTACTCTGCCGAAGAACGACAGATGAGCGGGACAACTGCAAGTATCTTTTAACAGCTTTGCATACTGATAGACGTGGCCAACTGAGCTGACGTCAACAAAGTATGGAAAGATTCAAAAATAAAAACACGAGTAAAATAATTATCTTGCAAGCAGTCGTATTCGCAGTGCTCGTTCAAAGTCTGGAAACCTCTACGAGAGGCCGATGTCGACAGCTTCCAGGAAAACGCCTACAAGTTTACTGAAATTAGCAATCAATGGACAGATGCTAGAATCAGCAGCAAAACCTGCGAAACGAACTCTAACCGGTACCTAATCTGATTTAATAAAACGATTCGCAAAAAGAACTAGTCTTTAAACCATTTCTCTTGCTTGAACTGCCCACTGGCTACAGAAAAGACGAATGAGAAGGTAAATTCGAAAAAAAATCCGTACAGTCCGACCTGGAAACGACAAGAAATATAACTAATACTGCAGCAACGAACGTAGCCTAATTTAATTCTGAAACGTTGTTTTTACCGGGTCCGACATTAATCTTGCCAGCTCAGTTGTTCGAGATTTCTTAGTCGTAGACAAAACAACAGTCAGATTTATTGCTGCCGTTATATTAAAATTTGTTTCAAGGCTTGCGAGAACTGACCACAGTTCTTGGGTCATTTTTCTGAGCAACTTCTGAACAATCGGGTTTATGAATGCATGTATGTATTCGAAATAGTACCACAGTACCAAAAGCAACCACTTACTCACGAAATAAGTTCAGCAGTCTTCGCTGTAAAACACCAAGTTCTTGATGAATAAGACGATAAAATCAATTTCTTCTGCAGTATTTAACCAATACGAAAGCAAGTTTCAGAAACTACTAACTGCAAGGTGTCGTTGATATGTCAACGCAATATAAAAACTAACGGATTTCGAAAAACGATTAAACAACTAATATAAGAACACTTACCGGTATCGGAAGAACTTTCAGATGAACAGCTATCATCAAGGCCCCTCATAACTCGCACAGGTGCATTTAGTGGAATTCTAAAATTAAAGCTACAACCAAGTAATACAAATTGTAGCAGTTAGCTGTCGTTTGCCTCATAGTTGTCTTTCTCTGACATTCAAGCACTGAAAAAATATCAACAGCACAAATTCGTTTAGCCTTACAGTTCGAATAGATACCTCACTGCGATCAATGGAAAAATAAATGGCCACGCATTCCCCATCTTTTGGTTCGTGCGATATGCACCGCATCGCATGTCGATCTCAGTGTGACACCTTATAAATAAGCATTATACAATGATGTAAATAATGTTTCAGCTGTGTCATCATATGACCAAAGCAATAAATTAGGTTCCCTCGAAACGTTGCCACTGCATCAAGTTAGAAAACGTTTAAAGCACAGTAATCGGAAATCCCATCATTTGTCTTTTAAACCGAGAGATCGTTGGAAGGCACTATGCAAGAATGAAAGAGGGGATAATTTCACGCCTTCTTTACAACTCTTCTCGTAAGTCATACGGTGAGTGGCCAATGGTTAGACTTAAGAAAAATACCCAAACTTTTATGTACAGCCACCGCTCATATCTGCCTAGAGTATTTGCCTGCAAGATCGAAGAACCAGAACAACTGGAAAGCCTCTTGAAATTGCCGCAACAGAAAATAATGAGTTGGAAATGAATGAATAATACAACCACAGAGATAAAGAGTAAAAAAAGATAGCTGTAACATTTTAAAGTCCAGGTACCTAATAATATTTTTCAACGTACCTTTATATAGGTTTGAGCACCGCGAATCCATAATCCAGACCATCGGCAAGGTTTCACTGTAATCAAGTGCTAAAACGCAAAAGTTGGGCATACAACTTAAAAACTGGTTAAAGTAATTGGAATTTGCAGGTTTGTCCCTAAAAGCGATTAGAAATGCCGAAGACAATTCAAGAAATCGAGATTTAGGCTGAATAGCATGTTTAGCTTATTGTAATTTTCAACCATAAACTGAATCTCATTATCATCAATACTCTTTCATTCATCGGACTGCAAGGAAAACAGCTTCAAATAGGCTTCTAAATGATTCCAGCTCTCTATCAATCATCAATCAAGTAGGCTCCACTGACTCGTACAAGAAGTGACAGCACCGGATATTCAATGTACTACAGTGATTAAGCCATAAGCATGTCTGTTGGTCGCCTATAATGTTAATTTGTGAAAAATCCCTATCGTCAGTCATTTGAAATGCCACTCAGACATGGTAAAAGAACTAGTGTAACCTGTAACCCAGTGATCTTAAATATGTTGCCAGTTAGACCATGGAAACTTGTTTCAGGAAGAGCCTGTTATACCAGAAGGGCTGAAAAATCAGATCAGACAAAGAGAACCCCCTTGCCTATAACCATACCAAGGTAACGTCAGCTAACTGCTAGTA